CCAAGCCAACTTACCAAATGACCACGCATGCATGAGAAAATGAGAGAATCCAGTCACAACTGGCCAAGACAGGCCCAGATAAACAGAACCACTTAAGTGACCACTGACTTATAAGCAATAATAAATAGTTACTATTATAAGTATATTGTTATATAGCACTAGATAACTGATACAGTCATATGGGGTAATAATAATCATAAAGACTATGGGTCATCAAGGAACTATGCAACCAGAGCAAGCCATCATGAGCTGGGTGCTATCATACCCATGAAGTTGTAAGATTATGCTGTAACTTCCTGATCTTACAACTTCATGGGTATGATAGCACCCAGCTCATGATGGCTTGCTCTGGTTGCATAGTTCCTTGATGACCCAAGTAAACAAGAATAGATAATGAGAACAGATCTATGAGCATTCTGATGACCAGACAAAAGAAGAAAAACTGTGCCTGATTCATGGATGGATCATCTCGGTACATTGATACAAGCTGAAAATGAACTGTTGCTGCGTTGTAGCTCCACTAAGGGACTGCCCTGGAACACAGGACTAAGACGAATTCCTCCACTGTAGAGAGTTTGAGAAGTTCACCTAACTGTCCATTTTGTACGGAGAGAAACGTGGGCCAGGGGACCCCCAGATGGTGGTAAATGGTCTAGATGGATGATCAGGGGCCTAGAAGGAATAAGCCTGGAAAATCAGGCGAAAATGATTTATGGAAGAGGTTTATGCATAGTATGCACAAAGGGTGAAGCTCTGTTTCACATGTTAATGCTCACCAGAGAACTCCACTGAAGAGACATTAAACAATCACCCATGGTAACTTGTCTAGTAGATGCCAGTCAACTTCTGTACTCAGCCATCCAAATACTTCCACAAAGGGCCCATGAGTAACAGGCATGGTAGTAGAGGTAAAAGCTCTAAGTGCACCCTAAAATAGGGGCTCCCTTTCAATAAGCTGGTTTAGCAACTTATGCAGCTCAATGTCCAATTGCTCAGCTATTCTAGAAGCTGATCCCTGGCACTTGAAGGAATACTATCCCTTAAGGAAACCAACCAGACATTTGGTGATAAGATGATTACATTAGACTCCTTCCATTCCAGAAAGGGTAGCAATTAATTCTGGCTGGGACTGGCATATATTTAAGGTTTGCTTTTTCCTTTCCTGCCCACAGTGCCTTTGGCTGCACTGCTATCTGAGGGCTTTATAAGAGTACATGATTTACTAACATGAAATCTCACATAACATCACTGTGGAATGAGAGATCCACTTTACACAAAAGAAAAGGAGGTACAATAAGGGCATATGACCAAAGGGTCCATTGGTCCTATCATAGATCATATTTACCTCAAAGCTGACGGCCAACAGCCTTTAAAGGTGCAGATTATAGAGATGATCTTGTTAGGAACTGGGAGCCCTTCAAGATATAATATATAACATAAACCAACAGGCCATTACAGTTATAGAGAATACATGGGTCTGGAAACCAAGAAGTAAGAATGCCTCCATTATCAGTCTCAATAACACACCTGGAGAATTTGTGCTTCTTGTTCCTTCAATTTAGATTTTGTGGATCTAGAGGTTCTGGTTTCCAGAGGAGGAAATTTTTCACAAGAGAGGACAAGAAGAATTCCATTTAATCTAAAGCAATGGCTGCTACTCATTTTGGGCTTCTCATGCTGGCACATCAACAGGCAAAGAAAGGAGTTACTATGCTGTAACTGACTTTAATTATTGTAAGAGGGCAGGGTTGCTGCTACATGATAAGGGCAAGAAGAATATGTCTGGTATAAAGGAAATTCACTAGGGAATCTCTTGGTGCTTTCAAGCTCAGTTTTAACTCTGATTGGGTAATTGTAGCAACCACAGCCTGACAAGTGCACAGTGACCATGGGCTCAGATCCCTCAGGGAAGAAGATCTCAGTCATAGCACCAGGAAAGTCATCAACACCATCAGAAGTATTAATGAAAAATGCAACAAATCTAGAATGGATCCTAGAAGTAGATTATATTAGTTACAGCCTCAAGGCTATTTGTAGCAGTAAGGACAAAAAGAGCTACAGCTCATCCCACTAACACTCCTTTTTTAATATTCTCACCCAGAAATTGAAAAGCACCGATGTGAAAAACTTATAATAAGATGGTGGGGCTTTCCTGGTGGTCTTGTGGTAAAGAATCAGCCTGCCAATGCAGGTAACATGGGTTTGATCCCTGTTCTGGGAAGAACTAGCTCAGCAGTAAGACAGAGGGTAAAAATACAGATATTACAGACTGGAAAGCTTGTGAGGACTGTTATATCTCAGCGAAATAGTCACAGAACTGTTATCTGTAACGTCTTAGGAGGCAGAACTCAAAGGAAAAGACTGAGACAATTAAGAACACTGGTCTGTGTTAGTGCTTTTTACTGCTCTCAGCAAGGTTCTATTCAAGACAGATAAATCTGGGTTAGGACTAGCAGGTTTGCAATCAAGGTTGAAAAATGAATATACCTCTCTGTGCCAATGGCCTAGAATTGAAATTGTGTGGTAACTGGAGGTCATATGGGACTAAAAAAATCCAATTGCTTCTGATTCTCAAACTGAGGCAATGCTAAGAGGTAATGGAGAAGTAGTTTGTAAAAAACTGATGTTAATATTAGGGAAAACTGGATGAGGGGTATACAGGTACACCTCAACATTATCACTGCAACTTTTCTGTAAATCTAAAATTATTCCAAAATTTAAAAATTTATTAAAAGAATAACAAAAATACTGGCCCTAATTCTTTCTCAAGCCTATAATACCCTGCATGGTCTACCTTTAAAAACACTTCTAAAACTTTTACATTTCTAGACTTTTCTAAACTTCCAGAACTACATCGGCATCAAGTAGGTTACAAAGCTGCATGGCTCTGAAGAACACCCTTCAGCTATGGCCCTGAAAGATAACAGACAAAGGGAATCTGTTAAAGGGCAAAGCCACGAGTCATATGGAGTACAATGAGCAAGGGTTCCTTCCAAAGGATAGGACAGAAACTGTTACAGGGGTTAATTAAGAACTTATTCCACTGCTTTCACTGTCTTCACAATTTCTGCCTAACAAGATTTTATCTCTACTATAGACCAGTGACTCCTCAGAGTTCCCAATCTTTGTCTTTTCTAAATGGAAATTTTTTCTGTGGTTATCCTGTGCTTACTCCTGCAATGTATAATAAATGCTATGTGTGTGGAGACAGGAGTGAGGTATGCAGATTAACTTGTTTTTTAGTTTTTAGATACAATACCACTTTGCCAACAAAGGTCCCTAGAGTCAAAGCTACGTTTTTTCCAGTAGTCATGTATGGATGTGAGGGCTGGAACATAAAGAAAGCTGAGCACAGAGGAACTAATGCTTTTGAATTGTAGTGTTGGAGAAGACTCTTGAGAGACCTGTGGATGGCAACAAGATCAAACCAGTCAATCCTAAAAGAAATCAATCCTGAATATTCATTGGAAGGACTGATGCTGAAGCTCCAATACCTTGGCCACCTGATGTGAAAGAATGGACTCATTAGAAAAGACCCTGATGCTGGGAAAGACTGAAGGCAGGAGAAGGGGACCAAAGAGGATGAGATGGTTGGATGACATCACCCACTTGATGGACATGAGTTTAAGCAAGCTCCAGGAGTTGGTGATGGACAGGCAAGCCTGGTGTGCTGCAGTCCACGGTGTTGCAAGGAGTCAGACACAAATGAGCAACTGAACTAAAGTGAACAAGACCATAAGGCATATAGTCCAAGGCACACCTGGACCTTATGGAGAGAACTGCACATAACCCAGAGATCCTGGACTCTGAGCTGGATATAGTGACTAATGAGATTTAGAGGCTGTCTCCATCAGGATGAAGGTAGGGGTACTCTGCATATGGGAAGAATGATGAACAAACGTAAATCTTTAGCTAGAAGAGTAAACTATGGCAGACTGTTGTCCCCAAATAACCACTGTACTCATTTGTCATAACAGTAGAATTTGGGCTAGGCATACTTCCCAGATCTCCTCATAACTTGATATAACCACATGACCTAGTTTTGGCCAATGTAATATGCATAAAAGTTATGTATACAATTTTCAGCCTACACAAAAGCTGTATGCCCTCCCTTTGCTCCTTTCCTCCTTCCCAGTAGGAATACAGATATGAGAGTGGAGGCTGAAGCTATCCTGGTTCATAAAAGGGAAGATACTTATTAAGAATGGCAGATAGAAGACAGAAGGAACCTGAGACTATGGTGATTGTAGTTTAAGAGAACACACGAGTCTTATCAGCTACCTAGATTTTTATACCTGTTACAGCAATAGAATCAAGAACTCAAACTATAAAAAGCTTCTTTAGGTTTTTCCCAGCTTCTTTCTGGTGACCCTCTGGCCTTCAACACCAGTTAATTGACTACCAACTGACTTCTGTTAAGGTATTAGCTGGTAACTGTGTAATACGTTTTCTTGCTCAGAAGACAGAGACAGACAAAATCCACACGTCTCCTATTATGAGGAAGAGGACTGTCCGACTGCAGGCATGCTCTTTTGTTCAACCCCAAAAGTAGCTCTAAAAGACTGATGCTTCAGTCTAGAACCTAGGCTGGTTTTAATACCCTTTTACCCCTAAGTTAACTTTTCACATGAATAAGGTAAAAACTGTACTTTTTTTTTTTTTTTAAACAGGTAAAGAGAAGAAGGAAGGAAGGGCGTTCATACTAAAAGAGCAGAAAACAAAAAACACTTACGTAGAGCTCTTCAGCTCTATCCTTATTATAAGTGCTGCAAATGAATAAAGCTAAGATGGGAGAAGTGCACTAAAATGACCAAAGCAATACTAATGGCCAAATCCTCTCTCTATTGAGTCTACAATGTACTGTTACCAAAATACTCTAAATCCTGTTCTGTCTTTGAGATTTCCATAAACTGAAGATCATCCCAGTTTTCTCTAGTGGTTTTAATTATTAATAGAAGAAATACCAATCAAATATTATAAAAGTTCTTAAGGCAACTCACGATGAAGAATCATTTTCCTTAGGGTAATCTTCATTTAACTCTGAGCCAGATGACAGCATTCTTTTTCTCTTTTCAGTCCTACAGAGAACAGAGAAAAACAGTTATTTCACATTATTAAAATGTATAAACCAACATACTCAAGAACAAGAATTGTGACTACTGTTATAACTCTATACACCACAGTTAAATATACTGTGTATCTGCAAGCTCTATACATGTCACTAACATAAATCACAAAAGACAAATATTATCTCCAAAAGACGCACTTTACACATTCTTCTTTTAACTAGAAGTCTCCTTCTTTTCCCCAAGTTACTGGACTTTCTAAAAGGCCTAAAAGATATTTCTAAATAGGCAGAGCTAAAGATTAAGAAAGAAACAAAAAATCTTTCATACCTATTTTCTAATAACCCTGATCTAAGAGGAGTGGATGTAGATGTCAAAGAGGGAATTGTCCGGGTAGGAGTTACTCCATTTCCTGCTGCAGCCTTAATTGATCCTCTACTTGGATTACCAAGAACTTTTCGAAATGGAGTATCATCTTTAGTTTCCAAACTTCCTCTTTTTGAAGAGACCTATAAGAATAAAGTTAAACACAGCTAATTCTTCACATTAATTGGCATATGTTTAGACCAGTGATCCTCTTATACAGAACTTTTAAAAAATATCCACAACTGGAGACCCATCTCCAGAGATTCTAGCCTATCTGGTCTGGGGGTAAGGTCCATTCATCAGTACTTCTTTTTTTAAAGAACACTAGGTGATTCTAATCAGTATCAGATATTGAGCTTGACATGTATTTTCCTATAGTACTCTTGTAAGCTTAGAAATTCCACAGCATACCTGGAAGCAGAAAAGAATTTGCTCTGAATTACTGATTTTTTAAAAAAGAAAATAACCTCATAGACATAAGAGCCACATGAAAGTAGATCTTTAAGAAAGAAAATCCAATTATGAATATTTAAAGTGAGCTTCCCTGGTGATTCAGCTGGTAAAGAATCTGCCTGCAATATGGGAGACCTGGGTTCAATCCCTGGGTTAGGAAGATCCCTTGCAGAAGTGTATGGCAATCCACTCCAGTATTCTTGCCTGGAGAATCCCCATATACAGAGGAGCCTGGAGGGCTAGAGTCCATGGGGTCACAAAGAGTTGGACATAACTGAGTGACTAAGCATAGCACATTACAGCAAAGTGATATGAATGTGAGAAAAATGAGTAACAATGACATTTGGCTGCCACAATTTAAAAGCCAAGTCACATAGACAGCATATGATTTTTGAGGGGGTTCTAGTATGGAGAAATGAAACAAATATATATAATGATGGGGAGACTGAAGGTGAGACAGAACCTACTGGCAGAAGATGAATCAAAGAGTCTACCCCAAAACACAGCAAAAATATTCAGAGAGAATGCACACTTTACCTCTATGGAAGATTTCTAATTACTTTCCACAAAATTACAATCTTAGAATAAGAAAAAAGAATCTCTGAGGTCATCTGGATGAATGATTTAAAAAGTTGATTTTCAAATGGATAACTGATTCTCAAGGTTAAAAAAAAAAAAATCAAAACACTATTATAAAAGCCACATACTAAGAAGTCTCTTTTATCACCCCAATGCCATTCACTCAGTTCTTCTACTTCCCATCCTCCTACACCTTGTAAGTATTCTACATTATTCTACATTTTTAAGGAAATGAAAATCAGTATTTTATTTTTCTAGTTACACAAATGGTAGCAGGCTATATGCATACTGTTTTGCATATTTTCAACCTTTTTTGACCATGACCCCACAGTGAGAAATATTTTACATCACAACCTATTATACATACATACAAATAGAACTGAAAATTTCGAAAACCAGTACTTATCCTTATTGTGAAGAATACCTTCTCTATTACTTTCTATTCTATTTTATTTAATGGTAGTCACAACCCACAAAACTGATTTTATAATTCCACTAATAATAGAAATCATTATTTGTGAAAGTATAAATATCTGCTTCTGCTAGACATATTAACACTTAACAGTTTAAATATTCTAACACTTTAAATTTCTACCTGTAAATGGATGAATCTCAAAGTAATTATGAGTGAAAAACCCAGACAAAAAATTATACACTGATTCCACTAATATAAAACTCTAGAAAATGCAAAGTAATCTAGAGTGACAGAGAGCAATTCACTCATGGCTTACGGATAGGGGCCAGACAGGGAGCTGGAGAGAAGGATTACAAAGGGGGATGAAGAAGCTTTTAAGGGCTATGGCTATATTCACTAGGTTGATTATGGTAATGATTTTGCAGGTATGTACATAAATCAAAACATATCAAACTGCACACTTTAAATATGTGCAATTTACTGGATATCAATCATACCTCAATTAAAATGTTAAAAAAAAAAACCCAAAACAAAAAACTCACCTTGTAAAAAGAAATTAACAAAAATGAAACCTTATTCACTGATTGCTTAGTCCAATAAATGGTTTAAGTAATCAACCCACCTCCACACAAACAGAATTCATTACTTACAGGAGAGCTTCAAAGTTTCTCTATACACCTGGCTTACCTTTGTAAGACAAATTAAAAGAGACATAGGACTCCTAAGGTGCAATAGTGCAAAGTAAGTCTCAGGACTGGCTGAGTATTTATGAAAGAAAAATTATTAAAAATCAAACAGAAGACCCAACAAAGCAGTCTAGTATCATATAGTGTAGGTCAAGTTCATAATGTAGAACAGATCCAGAAAAGCATCAAAGAAATAGCAACAGCAAATATTTACAGGGTTGTTAGTACATGGTATGGGGGGCTAAGCATTTTTATAATACACATTATTTCACAGCAACGCTTAAAGTATTTTTGCTGTCTCAATTTTACAGATTGGTACTAAGGCTCGAGATACTTAAGAAGGAGCTTCTCCAATGGCCTACAACTAGTAAGAGGCAGCACCAAATCTCTCAAACCCACATCTAACTTCAAAGCTATGTTTTCAAAAAGTACACTGTGATAAATTTCAGGTATGTGGCAAATATCCTTGTGATAATGTCAGAATTATTAGACATTACAGTCTAAATTCTACTTCCTGCAACTACCTTATAGAATGTCTAAGATTATCATCTTTTTAAAAAAAGCTAGAAAGATTCAAATGAACATACCTGATTGTCTGAGTAAGAAAGCTGCCTGTTGGTTTCCTTCTGTGAGGTCCTGCTGCCCAGAATAGCTCCAAAACTACTAGAACCCTGAGAAGGTTTCATGGCTGGTGGGGGGAAAAAAAATCCAATTACTTTAACTAAGAGATTTGTCATTATTATTATTTAATACTGAGGAAACAGAAACAGGAAAAATAAATCTAAGTGCTTATCTCACAGAAATTAATTCCGATATGTACAGTAAGAATTTAGAGCTACGATCAAGCAAAAAATTAAGCAACAATGGAAAAACTTGGAAATATGTAATAGAAGGATAAATTTTTGAATGCTAGAGATACTCCTGTATAAACATTTGGTAATTAACACTATAGCAAAGTCAGTCAGTGAACTAACTTTGGACACTGGATGCTAAGCACATGTCAGAACCAGTGACAGACATACTTCTAATAATGTATACCCCCAAAACTTTCTAAGTTCAGCAAACAGAATAAGTGGCTTCTTCTTTAAAGAAATCAATGCTAGTTTAAAGGACATGAAAGGTAATGTATAAATATGGAATTTTATATACTTTCAAAAGTATTTCAACGGAATTTCCTGGCAATTCAGTGGTTAGGACTCCGTGCTTCCATTGCCAGTGGCCCTGGCTGGGGAACTCAAGATCTCATCAGCTGCAGGTGGCCAAAAAACCCCCCAGTAGTCTATATTTTAATTTTGTTAATTTCCCACTGAAGATCATTTGGAATGTTTTAATTTAGAAACACTGAAAATAACACTGAACATCCTTTTACATATCTTCTTGCACTAATGCAACAATTTTCATAGGATAAAACTCCTTAGAATAAGAATTGTTGGGGTAAAGGATGTACAATTTTAAACTAAATTGATATTACCACTATTCCTCAAAAAAAAAAAAAAAAATCTCCAAGCTCCTACCAAGTATATTAGAGTATCTTGCCTACCCTCACACTACTGCCAATGTGATAATAAGAATTTGAATTTGTTTAATTACTGGTGAAGTTGAGAATTATTTCATGTTTATGGGACACCTGTTTTTCTTCCTGAATTTTCCTATATGTCTATTTCTCTACTGAACTGTCTTTTTCTTACTGATTTGGAAAGTCAGTATTTATATATTAGCAATATTAACTCTGTCACTGTGACTAATATTTTCTTCATCTTTTCTTCTCTCCTTGTCACAGAGATCATTTAAATTTTTTACACAGTCCAAGTTATTAATCTTTTCCTTTATTGATTCTGGTTTTATGTCATACTCAGAAAGATCATTCCCATCCACATAATATGTTAAAATCCATTCTACCCTTCTAATAATACTTTTATCACTTTTCAACACTGAAATCTTTGATCTATTTAGATGAAGGAGTTAAGGGTTCAGTTCTACTGTCTTCTTAAATGGTTAGCCAGTTGTCCTATTTATAGACAACACTGTTCATCAACCATTAGTCTTTTTCCCATTGATTTCAAACACCAACATTATACTTTAAATGTTTCAGTTTTCAAAGTGTTCTTATATTCATGAGCTTACACTTTGGGGCAGTTACGGCAACTTAACCTAAAAGATTAAAACAACTTACCTAAGAATACAGAATAAGTTAAGTCCACAGCTAGTCACTCTAAAAGCAGTAATGACTTACTGTGTGCCTATCAAATACCGGCTGTGACTGACATTAATGAACTCTTAATTTTTTCCTAAGCACTGTAATTAAGGTGAGAAAACATTCATTTTAGAGATGAGGAAACTGAAATTCATTTATTAAAGGAATTGTCCTAAACTGCACAGGATATAACAAGCAGAGATAGGATTCAAACCCAAATCTGTTTAGGTCCAAAGTTTGTGTTTTTCCATTACGCCATGTTGTTCAGACTCAAATCTGGAAGCCAGTCTGCTGTGCTTTCCACTCTTTAAATGCATTCAGAGACATACTTTCTTACACATGTCAATTTTTAAAACAGTGGTTCAATTAATATGATGGAATAAAACAAATACAGAAATGTAGACATAATCCCTAACATATTCTAAAACTTTTAAATGGCACTCAACTCAATTCTAAAATTCAGTATTTAGAAAACTGACATGGTTTATTCAGATTTGGTAACATGAACACATGATGAATATGAACCAAATGGCAAACAACCATAAAAAATTTTTTTAAACAGGAAAATAGTTTATCAAATAGCTATTAAATACAAGCAAGGAGACATTGCTACATCTTTATTTTCTAAATGTTTTTAATGTGTTATATTTGTTTAAAAAAAAACTCAGCAGTTTGTTAACTATAAAATACCAGTAATAACAAAGTACTGATGATGACAGAGCTGGAGAGTAATAAAAAGAAGAGTGAAAAAGTCATTTTGAGCAACAGATTACTTCTAAAAAGATGCTTATAAATATGTATTCTTTAAAGTCAAAACATTTTACATGAAAGGGGTTGGAGGAAGTAGGGGAATCTGATCACACTACTTGATTTTCTATGGTACCTTCTGTTTTTATAGAAAAATAAAACCGCAGAAAAAGTTTCATATAAAAAAGCAACTATATAACATTTATGTAACAAGGTAAGTTTTCGCAAACATAATTTAAATCCTACTCCTTCTTTAGACACACACTCTTGTGGAATCTTTAGGGTGTTCTACATAAACATGTCATCTGAGAACAAAGACAAATTTACTTCTTCCTTTTCAATTTGGATGCTTTTCATTTCTTTTTCTTGCCTAAGTGCTCTGCCTAGGACTTCAGTATTATGTTGAACAGAAGGGGTAAAAGAGGTCATCCTTGCCTTGTTTCTGATTTTGGAAAACCTTTCAGTTTTCCATCACTGAGCTATGGGCTTTTCATATAAGGCACTTATGTTGAGGTAAGACAGATCCTTTAATTCCAACTTTGTTGAGTGTTTCCATCATGAAACAAAGTTAAATTTTATCAAATGCTTTTAATGCATCAAGATGATCATGTGGTTTTTGTCCATCATTCTGTTAAATTTGACGTATCACACTGACAGATTTTTTCCATATCTTAAAACTATTCTTGCATTCCAGAAACAAATTCCACTTGGCCATGGTGTATAATCCTTTCAATGTGCTGTTGAATTAGGTCTCCTAGTATTGTGCTGAAATTTTTGCATCAATATTCATGAGGGATACTGGCCTACAATCTAGTAATATTTTTTAATAACTGCTAATGTTAGACCCTCAGATGATTAGTGCTTACCTGCATTAAGTCTGTTTTGATGGACTGCATCTAGAAACAACCTCATTTCCTCTGCATCCTTACTTGGTACTTTATCAATAGATAAGAAGCTGTTATCTTGTAGAGTTAACATTAGGCGGCTTTGCTTTGCTCCACTGGGTCGAAGCACCACATTTTTAATGTTATGACTTAGCTGATCAACACAAAAGGAAAAGTATCATTAAAAATGAATTATAATGAAGCATAGTAAGTTGTACAATGAAGACTAAACTTTATATGCTCTACGATAACATTTCTTACTCTTTTCCACATTAATTTAGTTTTTTCTTTATCCAACCAAAAAGAGTTTCCATTTCTTGGTACACTTAAAGATTTCACTTCTGGAGAGGCACACACTATTAAAAGTTTACAGTAATCCAAACACTCTTGACTTTTTTGGTAGGAACTGCATATTTTCAGGTACAGTTACAAAAACAAAGAAGTTAATTTTCTAACACTTGATGGTTATACCATCACCAATTTAGAAAGTCATATTGGATTAGAGGCTTTTTTTCTTTTTAAACAAAAGCTTATAAAATATCTAGCAATTGGTTTATGTAGCTGCAATGAAAAAGGATATTCTGATCCAAACTATATTCCTCAAAAGAATTCTATTTCTCAAAAATACATCAATATAAACCTTTACCAACATCAGAACATCTTTTTTGTTTTCTTTTTTAACTATCTAAGCAGGCTCATTTAACTTTCTATCACAATGCTCCTAAGTTCTCTGGAACTCTCTTAGCTTACTTCTCCCGCTCCCCAGAACTGGTTCAATATTTCTCTTATACTCTTCCAGACTCTGGAAATATGCTATTAAGTGATCACTTTTATTTTTTCTTGGTTGAAATTTTTCCAAGACTAAATCAATAAATCTTGAATTTTTTATCTTACTAATTCTCCCAACTAGTCACCCTTATTCTCTAACATTCTCCCTCAGCAGGCATATACAGAGGTTTCTAAAGTTGCCTTTTGCTGAAGACATACACTCTGAACAGCATAAAGAAAGAAGTAAAAGCATCTCACAACTTTTAAAATTAGGGATAATTGACCTTGTGACACTACTTTGTCAACAAAGGTCTGTCTAGTCAAGGCTATGGTTTTTCCAGAGGTCATGTATGGGTGTGAGAGTTGGACTATAAGGAAAGCTGAGCACAGAGGAATTGATGCTTTTGAACTGTGGTGTTGGAGAAGACTCTTGAGAGTCCCTTGGACTGCCAGGAGATCCAACCAGTCTATCCTAAAGGAGATCAGTCCTGGCTGTTCATTGGAAGGACTGATGTTGAAGCTGCAACTCCAAAACTTTGGCCACCTGATGCGAAGAGCTGATTCACTGGAAAAGACCCTGATGCTGGGAAAGATCGAGGGCAGGAGGAGAAGGGGAGACAGAGGATGAGATGGTTCGATGGCATTACTGACACAATGGACATGGGTTTGGATGGACTCCGGGAGTTGGTGATGGACAGGGAGGCCTGGTGTGCTGCGGTTCATGGGGTTGCAAAGAGTTGGACATGACTGAGCAACTAAACTGAACTGACCTTGTGACAATTTTTAGATAAAGGTGAAAAAACAATTTACCAGACTTAATTTATATTTCAAACTTAAATGACAGGTTTTAGACTCAAGTAGGTCTTTCTCTCACCTCCCCCATCTAATGGATTAAATCTTGAAATCTCTTTAAATCTGTTTTCTTCTTTTTGCTTCTTCCACTGTCTTATCCTTTGCTCAAGACTTTGATTTCTCATCCGAACTTCCACAATAACCTCTTACATGTCCTTATTCTCCCACTACCTCTTGAAAGTCATCTGCCTAGCTGCCAAAGGAATTTAAACTTAAGATTCTTGGTTCCCTAGTAACTAAGTTCCCTTTACTATGACATAGAAGATCTGGGTATTTCAAGATCTGGTTTCTATGTAGCTCTTACCCTCTACTACTGCCATTCATTCTCTACTGTGCATTTACTTTAAAATAATTTTCTGTTTTCCTGAATGTTGATTCACACTAGCATGGTACATCATAGAAATCATCTTCACCTTACCTTCACTGTGTCTAGCAAATTCTTACCTACCCTTTAAATCCTCAGAGCACAAAACACTTCCTTCTTTATGTTACATCAGTATCTCTGAGGTATTTTCACAGCTGAGAATGCATTTGGTTACTCTTAAGTTTGAGAGGAAAAGTGCCTCACTCAGCTCTGTATTCTTAGCCCTTAGCACAGTACCCATCACAGTAATCTACAGGTGGTTAACAAATGAATGCTGAATGCAAAACTGATCTAGAACTGAGATGACAGTTTAATCACAGGTAGATTCATCATGCTTCTAAAGACCTATGTTTGCTTAAATATTTAAATACTTACTGAGTGCTAATTTGAGTTGAGGACTGAAAGACTGAATCTGTTTTTTAAAAAAATCTTTCATTGAGATGGTCATATGCATATAAATGTGGTAGAAACTATTGTTTCTACTACCCATGTCACCACCTACAATCTATTTAAGAATACTTTTGATACATAAAATCATAACCAATTTACTTCCAATAGTTTAGAAGCAAATATAAATGGAAATTTTACTTCAGCTCAAGTTCTCAAGCATAAAGTTTTATAAACTGCTCTTCAAAAGAGTACTTTAGAATATTACTTTTATATACTCTAATTAACAAATACAGCATTTTTAAGTGCAGAAAATGTAAGACGTTAAATTCAACTCATATCAATATAAGTAATTCTTGGCTGCACAAGAAAGAAGTGAAAACAAATTATTTTTTATAGTGATAAAATAATGAGGTCCTTCAAAAGTTAACAAGAGGGACTTCCCTGGTAGTCCAAAGGTTAAGAATCTGCCTTACAATGCAGGGAACTCGGGTTTGATCCCTGGTCAGGGAACTATGATCCCACATGCCTCAAAGCAAACTAAGTCTGCACACCAAAACTAAAGAATCTCTGCACTGCAACAAAAGATCCTGCATGATGCAATGAAGATCTTGTGTGCTGCAATTAAGACCCAATGATGCCAAATAAATAAATAATTAAAAAAAAAAGTTAACAGAAGAAAACAGCTGTAAGGATGACCCTGAATATCATTCTTGAATAGTCCATACCACAACCTTTGGCAGGATTAATTAGGAAAAAGAAATTAAAAAGACACTAATGAGTCCTATTAAAAGCTAATACTAAATAGTGATGAATTTATCACATATGTTGGTTGCCGGGGGGTGGGGGGGGGGGTGTGTGGTGCAGAAGGGGGGAACATAACTGAAGTTATCCTAATGTGGTTTTAAAAATAGCTTAGACAGTATCCAGACTCAGTTTCTCCCAGCTTCCTCTTCCCACCACTTTCTTTTCAACAATGGTGACTACTTCCTACTCTTTATTATACACCATAAACAATTTTGCTGAATAGTTTGTAACAATATTAGGTGCCCTGAAAATTAAACAAATAGTAATCTAGTAGGGGTACTATGATACTTAGTGTGGCGGAGAATAGCTGTTCACTAAAGGATGTGATTAAAAGTCTATTCCAAATCAAAATTTTGTAATACCTGAAATATCCTTGGAATCCCTCCAGTATTGTAGTGAACTACTAGGCTGACTTTATTTTCTTTTTCCACAACTTCAAAGGATCCTTCTTTCCATTTTGTAATCCCAGTCTGCATACTTCGAATTCTGATAGGGCCATGTATCTTCAGAGGAGACATATTTTCTTTAAAAATAAATTGCTTCTAGCCAAATTAAAAAGAAAAAATACACCTTCACCTGACAGATTCTAAGGAAGAAAAATAAAATAATAAGTTACAACTTACTAGTGATTAAAACAAGAGTTTGAAAGAGAACATTTAATGAATCATCATATGTCCTTTTCTCCGTTTCCAATAAACTACCTTTTATTAAATATCCTCAAAGGCTCTGATTAGCTGGATAGTACTGGTAAGAACAAATGAAGCAGTCACTGATGTTCAGTGATTGAATTTACCCACCTTTTAATTTTTCTGTACATGTTCTCTCCTTAGCCACGTACCTGAGTCCATTTAGTGTCTAAATTTTGCATTTTGCAGCATTAACAACCATACTGCTGTCACTGTATGACAATTAGGAATACTAAAGATTCCATTCTCAATGTGAGTGCCCATGGCAATATGGCCAACTTTTACCCTCCTTCATGATTCTAAAGGATCTTGAATTTCAAATACAAGTTTAAAAAAAAAAAAAAAAAATCAGTCAGCTGACTCCAGTTTTTAAAATTGAGCTCCTAATGAAACATCAAATTGTATCACCAAACAATTCCTTCTATCAGTTGGTAGTCTAAGCATATCCACATGTATAAAACATATTATATGAATAAATAATTGTGAGAATAATCAAATTAGTTTAACCTAAACAACTATATTATTAGAGAAAATCATTTATTCTCTAGGGAAAACTAACCAAAAAAACCCCTTCCTAAGATCCACCTACCATTTATGTTTAACTCTACCATTCCTGCAAAGAATCTTTACCAATTTTATCTTTCACAAATATTTAAATTTCCCAAGTGAACTTCTGATACTTACAGATATGACAGAATGTCTAAGACTCTTAAAACTAGCTTAACAGATGTCAGCAAGTAAATATGATTAAACAGCAGAAAATGATTATCAAGTAGTGTTATGCACATATACGTAAATAAAATTAAAATGAAATTTACACTACAGCCTTCAAATCTCTAAAAACATGGCCTCTAATACAGATTCTTGTTTATAATTTAACCATTATACTTTGCCTCTGCCTAAAAAACGCAACTAGAAAAGCTAAAAACAGTAATATACGTACAAAGGAAAAACATACTAGATCTAGGTATCAGGAGCCAGCTCCATCACTTACTAACTTTTAAGTTACTTTTCCTCACCACTAGTTTTCTCAGCTGTAAAATAGCAATGCTACAGTGTTGCAGAATTAAATGAAATATTGCTAACACTCATTAGGCATTCAATAGACAGCAGCTTCAATATGAATGAAATTAGTGCCCACTTTCTGAATTTATTCCTTGTCTGCAACACCTCTTTCTCCAAAGATCCCAGACAAATAACTCATTAACAACGGTCACCAACTCACTGCTAAACAGAGGCTAAATAGAGGCTAAACAGGTAACACAAATGATTTAAACAGGCAAAATATGAAAATGTCTGTTCAAATCTAGCCAGCTTTGCCATGAACCCAGCATTACCAGATCACCTAATTCTTCAAGAAAATTTTTATGTCAAACTGCCCATTTTAAATTCTGGACAATGAATTCAAAGTTTCAAATAAAACAAAACCCACCTAGAGGTAGCATATAGACTGGAAAACCCTAGTTCAAGGCCCCTAGGTGCTATATATCAAACAGCTAGGAATAAATTTAAAGAGAGATATGAAAACACTTTGAATTGTTTATAGAGTATTTTGCATTGTAAGTCCTCTACTATTATTCACTGATCGAATTTTTTGTGTGCCTAATTGTGGCCAGATTTATATACTCTAATTAGCTGGGTGTATGAATCCATCAAAGTAACAGAAGTCACTGTTGTTCACAGACCTGTCTGTTAATGTGACATTTTGTTCCAACCAGTAATTACAAAATCAGCAATGTGTTTGTAATACTTTTTTTTTTTTTTAATCCTCAGTCATGTCTGACTCTTTGTGACCTCATGGACTGTAGCTTGCCAGGCTCCTCTGTCCACGGGATTTTTCCAGGCAAGAATACTGGAATAGTTTGCCATTTCCCCCTCCAAGGATCTTCCCAACTCAGGGATCGAACCCACATCTCCTGAGTCTCCTACACTGGCAGGATTCTTTACCACTGAGCTACCTGGGAAGCCTTTTTTTTTTTTTAAACAATTAATAATTTAGTGCTTTACTGCTTGGATATAGCCTTGAGATTTTTTCCACTCTGTCTCATAGCACTGCCATGAATATGTGATCCCTCTTCTACTCCAGTTGTCCATGCCAGAAACACGAGTTATCTTTAACACCTCTCTTGATGATTATTAGTACTGGACTGGAAATGGAAGGTAAAGTTGTCAATTTAACCTCTATATACCTTCCAGACATCTTCATAATGAACTTCAGATTAACTCACATCACTATCCACAAAATCATTCAACAGCTCCCCATGAGGGCTACAGTTCATGGGGTCACAAAGAGTTGGACATGACTGAACAACTGAGCACAACACAGCCCATGCTCTCACAATAAAATCTACTCATTCACATGACATAAACACCATTCATGACTCAGGCCCTGCTTACCTCTCTAACCCCAAGAGACTCTCCAAATTCAGCCATCTAAACGATTTACAATTTTCCTTAAAAAGGCATATATTCTCATGCCACTATACTTTTGCATACACTGTGGTCTACATCTGGAGAATTTTTTACCTACTCTCCCCATCCTCCACAACAACCCTTTTTAAATTCTCCTGGCTATAATATAAAAACTCAACTTAGATATTATCTTCTCTAAGAAGCCCTTTCTAGCTATCTTTCAATTATTCTCTCATCCCATACACACACTGAGAGCATTTAATGCTTTGCTCTTCTGCTGTACCCTGCGTTTACCTCTAGTAGAGCATTTATCACATTGTATTATAAACTACCTATTTGCCCCTTTGTCTCTCTCTTCTATGTGGGATAGAAGACAGGCCCAACTGTCCTAGACTTAGCAGGTGGGGTGTGACAGATGCTGAGAAGCCCACCCCAGTGTTCCCCACAGAGAGCCACCAAATGAAAATGCAAAACTGTTATTTGAAGACAGGGAATATGTCCTTTATCTTTGCATCCCCACGAGGACAGTGTCTGGCACACAAGAAACCACCTCATTATTCAAGAATAATAGCACAATCAATTTTATCATTTTACAGTTAAAATATACAGCAGCAGATACTAGGACCATAAATCCCTTTTATATGGCCAATATAGGATTACATTTACTAAGCTCTTTACAGGAGCATCATTCTGTGCTATATATCTCATTCTTTGAAAACTACTTCCAGGCTTTTTCTATGTGCATCTGAATTTCTCCTAAATGCAAAGCTGTCCACATATCAATGAGAAAAATCATTTATGAAAAACAAGAATATGCAGTTGCAGAATGCATTATTAAAACAAAAAACATTAGCAAATGTGCCTAAACCAGGATTCATACAATCTACTGCTCAATGAAGAAACTATACTTTAAGAGGCTTATCAAATTATCTCATCTTTTCTTATACATTTAGGATGCCAAATTATAAGGGAATAGTTAAAACCCCATTGTCTCAGTGTCTTCCTTACAGACCAAAAAGTAAATAAAGGACATTGATCTTGAGTTCCTCCAACAAAAACATATTTTAAAAAATTAACAAGATTTGGAGATAAAGATTTCAAAGTTCAATAAAGTATGGAAGAAAAAACTTTATTGATTACTTCTGTTTCCCTCTATAATTCTCTCTACATGTAATACATGATTTCTCTAGATAAAATTCTCAAATATTCTGATGCAGAGTTCTGGCTAAGTGTATAAAATTTTACTTCAGATATTGAACATTTTCTTAACCATTTCTACTAGTAATCTCTAAGAGAAAAAGCCTAAAAGGTACAAGACATAAAATTGGCAGAATCAATAAAACTTTTTCTTAATGTCTCAAACCAGTCCATTGTCGGCTCTTGCATTAAATGAGTTAACTGCATTTACTTTTGTACACTGATCATATTATCAGACTTTGCCCTACTTGGTTAAGAGAAAAAGACACTAAGTTTCCCTTCAAGTATCTAGCATGATCCAGTAACAGTTCAACTTTCTATGAACCTAACAAAGACAAGGTTTCATTAAACTCTGTAATGCTAATTCACTGTTAAAGTGATATTAGGAAGACAAAGTAGAAGAAAAACCAATTATTCTTTAGGTACATCCAAAGAGATTTGCTTTTCCCTAAATTTCTTCACCATTTTTGAAATCACTGTTTAATTGTGAGCAATCTGTGAAAGCTCAATAACATTGGCAAAAATGTTTTTATACCCTCTACAGTTATTTAAATGCTCTTATTTTAGGTACTGCTTTGAAAACATTCTTATGCAGAGGGTATTCTGTGGTTTAAGAAAGCATGCTAAAGCACAAAAATTACTACTACAAAATAGAAGAAAATGGTCAGTTCTTGCTAGTTAGCATACTCATGGAAACATATATATCCAAAATAAAAACATTACTTACTTTTCAGAGACTTTTACTGAAAAACCCTATGTAATAACAATTCACCTTTATTCTGATCCTTGTGCCAAAGGCAATGCACTCTTCTTGGGGAACTACTCATATTCTGCAGCTATGCCAGTTCTCCAGGTGCCATCAACTCAGCTAAAGAAAATATAAGTGTGCCTTTTTAAAAAAAAAATCTCATTTACAAAATTACAATTTTCAAAAAGTGCTCATTTACACAACAAAGATTAACTCTCTATTTAAAAATCATAAACTACTGAAAACATTTAAAGTATAATGCTCAAGATACACTTGTACACATACCCCCCACACATGCACACATACACAGACTCAACAACTTTAGGAATATATCTGCTGTGCAAAATGAGGGACTCCCAGAGCCTGCACCTAGATCAATTTTTATCTTGGTTTATTTATTCCTGTTACATTTTGAAACTAAGCAGGCAGTGAAATAAACAGTATTTCTTTTGTTCACTTTATAAACATTGTTACA